AGCAGCCATGCTAGGTGAAACTATTGGTCTTGTCCTGTTCAAAACAAAGAAGAGGAAAGAAAAGCAAAGATAAAACAATCAATCTAAAAGACGTAATGCGCGCGCACACACACACACACACACACACACACACACACACTTAAGGTTTGCTGGTCTCATACACACTTATGGGACTAAGAATCCTTAGTCACCCTTTGAACCGGAAACAAAATTCATCCCTGTAGCTCAACTTTCATCCAAATAATTTCTCAGTCTTGTTGCTATCAATGGGAGCTGAGTCATGTCATAGCTGACCCTCTAGCTTAAAACACGCAAAAATGGATTGCCCATATTTCTCTCACAGAGCAGTTGGTGGGTTTGGACTGCCTGCCTTTGAGTTGCCAATACAATTCCTAACCCATTAGGCCACCAGAGCTCCTAAATTTCATATACATAGAACAATACAGCGGGGAAATGGACAAAAAAATGAACAAGCAAATAAATCACAGGAGCATCAACAAGAAAAATCTAGAAAGAAAAAAAAATGTTCTATCTCACAAATAAGAAGATGCAAAATAAAGCAAAGAAATATCACATCCATCAGATCAGCAAAAATAAGAAAGTATGGTAATATCAAATGTTGAAATACATATGGGGAACACCACCCTTTATGGCAATGTAAATTGGTGGACGATTTGGATATATATCCAAATATATATATATACACTTGAAACAATTCCACTTATAAGAACCAAACCTAGAAAAACTAGCACCTATTTGTGTATCTGGAGAACTTCATAAAATGGCCTAATTTACTAAAAAAAAACCACTTAGTGACTTGTTATGTGCCAGGAACTTCTGTAAGCTCTTTAGTAACAAAGACCATAGTCATTGCAATCACTTGCTGGGATAGAGTGCCACCGTCACTGTGGAGGTGAGCTCACACGTGCTGGCCATCCTGACAATGGTTCAGGATTGACAGCGTTTCAGGTCTGCCATACTCAGTCAGAGCGGCTTTAACAGTACTTATCTACCTAGTGCGCTAGTCTTTGGGGAGTTGCTCAGCTAACCCAAAGGCGGCTCCTCTCTGGCAGCTCAAATAAAGGTACCATGGCCCTGGGAAAGAAAGATGAATAATCACCTCCCTTGCTATATACAGCTTCAGAAAACCCACAGGAGGGTCAGCTGAGTCAATTCCAAATCCACGGCAATGAGGTAAGTCCATCTTTGGGCAAAATAGAAAAACCTGTGCTTTTTGATGGTGGACACTTACATACTATACTAGTTTCTGCATGGCTTGAATATTTTCTAATTCGACAATTTGAAGCTTTTTTTTTTTTCATTAAAAAAATGCATGGTAGAGTTGCAAAATCCATTAGGTGTCAGTGTTTGTTTATGTTCATCTGCACTCTGCTTGTCCCGTGTCTCTCCACTTCTGATATCATCTCTGCTCAGAATCACTCCATTCAGCTCTTGGTCCTGCAGATAAGACTGAGGGCCCAGGGTGGATAGTGATTTGGCTAAAAGGATAAGCGCCCTATTTCCTTCTTAAGGGCGCTCTGGTGGCTTAGACTTTAGAAAGTTGTACTTCTTACCCAAAGGTGGCAGTAGCGGTTCAAATCCACCAGCCGCCCGCTCTCGGGGAGACAGGTGGGCAGTCGCCTCTTGTGCCATTTACAGTCTCAGAAAACCCAGGGGAAGGTCAGCCATGAGTGAGTTCCCACCGGACAGCAATGAGTGAGTGCAGGCAATCTTCTAAGGCCGGTGGCTGACAACTGTTTATTGTGTGCTGTAAACAGAGCTGAGAGACTCAGAGTTCTCTATCAGTCCCGGTGCTCCAGTCAAGGTCGAACAGTCAGATTCCAGGCTCCACACTGCCCTGGCCCCTGTCTGATTTCCCCTGCTAGAGCTTGTGTTTCTTATCCATTGCCTGTTAAGTGTGTATTCAGTCTGTAATGTACAGAAAGCCACACACGTCAAGTTACATAAAGGGCTGCAGGAGGCTTTAAAAGAGCAGCCTGCTAGAGTCACTTGAGGGCAGAATTATGTTTAAATCCAGCTTCTATAAATAATCTCGGATACAGGAGGAGCTTGGCTTCCTCTTCATTTAAGGAGAAAGGGAAAGTGTCCCCCAATCCCTTAAAATCATGAAATCTGGAGGAGCTGACAGAATGACTTTCCTGGGAGGTTACTGCAGCAGCAGATAAGGCAAAATGATCCTTTAAATGAGGCAAAACTGCGGTTGCAACCAGTTTACCCTGAATCTCAGAATAGCAGATAAATCCTGGGGGAGTCTGATTCTAAAGTAATAACAATTCAAGTCGAGTTAGAAAGGAACACTGAATATGGAAAATAAAGAGAGGAAGCTGGATTTTATAAAAATGTCGTTTGTAACAGTTTAAAAAAAAAAGAGAGGAGGAACATACATTCTTAGGTGTGAAATTGCTCTGGGAAAAGAGTCTACATTTAAGTCTAATTGTTCTAATTACTTCCCTTCAAAAAGAGGCTGTGCCACTTCACCCTTCACATCATGGAGAAGAGGCCTCTTTTCTAGCACTAACGGTGGGCTTTGTTGTTCCTTATCTTTTTCCCCACCTAAATTGGCAAATAAGGTCCTTGCTTTAATTTTCATATCTTTAATTATTAAAAGGTTAATAACTTGTCACGTTATTGATGATTTGCATATCTTTCTCACGTCTGTTCTTTCATTTTCCCATTTTCTCGTGAAGTCTTTCTGTTGTCCACTTTGAGCTGTATGTTGCTAACTTGTCCCCCTCCCTCAGTTTATCCTATGTCTACTCTAGTTGTGTTGACTTTTGTCATGTATTATCAATTTTCCATGGTCAAGATTTGCCAGATCTCTCCTCTTTGATTTCTAGCTTAGAGATCTTATATGAAAAGACCAGCTGCTTTTTTTCTACTGATGAAAATTGTCAGTGTACTGAAAAGCCAAATAGACTCCACTTTATGCAGTACTGCATTTGAGTAACAAAACCCATGTGGAAAATTTTTACCTAGAGCCTTAAAGTTTTGTCTTGAACTGCTTCCCAAAACAATAACTGCTATTGTTTATAACCCAAAATGTAGATGTTTTGCACTCTGTGTACTCTTGAATATATCACTGTGCCCTTGAAATGTTTCAACAGCAGAATGTTGTAGCAAGTAGCCTAGATTATTAAACTTCCTAGCCAATGCTAGGGGATAGGTGACCCTGCCTTGTTACTGGAACACCCCCCACCCCCGGTACAGATAATAAAGGACCTTACCTGTAATCCTGTGATGTATGTCTCTTGATTCTTTCAGTGTAACCGTACAAGAATAAGGGATGCATGCTCTAGCGGACCTTAATGAGCATCCCTGGGGTCCACATAGAGTTGATTCCCAACAGAGAAGTTGTTTTTCATGGGATACTAGAAAGCAGTACAAAGTTTAAGTTCACCAATTGCTGTTGGCCAAGAAATAAACCCAAGTCTCATGGACTGAGCATAAGAAATCAACACAATAACTTGAGGAGGAAGCCACAAAGACTGTGCAGGCCCAATTGAAACTCAGTACCTGTAAGGGGTGGGATAATTCTCCTCTGAATAATGTGGTAATGTGAGCTTTGATTACAGGTATGACCACAGCATTGTCTGGAGACTTTTCACATGCCAGACAATTTAGGCTTCTTGCTTATATTCCATCTTGCTTATATGCCATTCTTGCTTATATTCATTCTGTAATGGGAGTGGATCTGTCACATGTTGTCCAATATACTGGTACAGCCACAGGGAATATTCAGAGAATGGAAGTGAATTGGCATTTATAGGTTGTGGTAAACTGAATAAAGGACCCCAAAGAGAACCAGGTCCTAATCTCCGATCTCTGTATTACCTTCTACAGCAAAGGGGTCCTTGTAGATATGAGTAAATAATGACTCTTGCAATGGGGAGATGATCCTGGATTATTTTTGTAGCCTCTAGTTTCAGTCACTGGTGTCTTAATAAGGAGAAGGCAGAGGCAGATTTGACCCAGATGGCAAGGTGATACCAAAGCCAGATGCTACCTTTTTGGTTTGGAAAGTAGAGAAATGGACCAGGCGCCAGGAAAGGCTCTTAAAATTCTAGTTCCTTTTGGGTCAAATCCAACTCATGGAGCAAAATGAATAACTTTTTCCGTCGATCTCCAGGTCTTTTCTCCAAAGTGGGCTCAGATCTTTACTTTTTGGGTTATTGAAGAGTGTGACTAAGGAAGACAGAAGAAGAATTGATGCTTTTGAGTTATGGTGTTGGAGAAGACTACTGAACATACCATAGACTGCTAAAAGAACAGACAGGTCTGTCTTGGAGAGGGTGAAGCCAACCTGCTCCCAGGAGGCTAGGATTTTGAGACTCCATCTCACATACTTTGAGCACGTTGCCAAGAGGGATCAGTCCTTGGAGAAGGACATCATGTTTGGAAGGGTGGAGGGACAGCATGGGACAAGAAGACCCTGGATAAGATGAATTGACTCAATGACTGGGATTAAGTGTGCCAGAGACAATGAGGTTGGCTCAAGATAGAGCAGGATACATTGGGTCACTATGAGTTAAAGGTGACTCGGTGGCACATAATACCAACAACATGTTAACTTGTGCACTATTTAGATCTAGACACGGGCACAGATTCCCCCTGGAACCTGCAGGGGAAGTGCAGCCCTGCTGATTTTGGCCCAGTGAAAGTGATTTTAAATTTCTGGCCTCCAGAACTATAAGCACAAGTAAGTGTTCTGGGATTTCATTCTGTTATTAATTTTATTTTTAGATTAATTTAAACTTGTTGTTGTTGTTGTTGTTGTTATGTGCCATCGAGTCGTTTGCGACTCATAGCGATCCTATGTACAACAGCCCTAAACCCTTCTCCAACCCTGTGCCAATCTCATTGCCTCTGACACACCCATC